GTTCGTCGCATAGATTCAATACGTCAGTTGTGACCCACCGTCTTTTGAGTGCTCTGCGTTTTCCTTAGGTTTCACTAAGCTGTTTCAGTCATTGCTATCTTGAAGGAGAGTTGACTAGTGTGTCCACTTCTGAGTCATCTGCATCGAGTAAGGTGATTGGTGCAAATTTTCCACCAATCTTTGCTTGAAAGGCATCTGCAGCTTGAGGGTCTTTAAGCTTCTCGAGATCGAACTTAATCCTTGTGGGGCCCTGCATTTTTATGTTCTTTAAACGTAGTCGAAAAGACATCATTACTAAATCATGGTCGCTTCCTATGTCAGCTCCTGGGAAGTTTCTTGTCTTATCGGTGTTAAAAATACACTCGTCATGAAGCGCCTCCTAACCATGATATAATCAATCTGGTTATGGTATCCTCCATTTGGGCTGTGCCATATCTACCTTCTGGATACTTTGTGTTTGCCAAGTGTATTCGCCAGCACAAGATCGTTGTAGCAAGCAAACTCCAGGAGCCTTAGACCTCTCTCGTTTGTCTCTGGGTTGCAGTAGTGTCCACAAGTGCCTTTCCAATTCTTGAATGCATAGCTAATGCATCCTCTCCCACTTTGGCATTCCAATCGCCTAACACAACAAGGATGTCTTTCTTAGGGGACAGGTCCAAGATTTCCTGCATCATCATTGTCCGAAGTAGGGGTGTAGGCCTGTATAATTGTGATGTTAAATGGACTTCCCCTCAAGCGGATGGTGATAAGCCTAATTGAGACTGGCCAGTAGCCCATGACAATGTTCACGATGTCATTGTGAATAAGAAATCCAACGCCTTGTTAGTGTTTGTTCTTTTTGCCACTGAAGTATAATTTATGACCGTCCTGAGTGGATGTCTCGTCAAACATTTTCCATCGTACCGCGCAGAGACTTATGATGTTCCAGCGGTACCTGCTCATCATATGTCAATTCTTCCAATTTGCCTGCCATTCGCAAGGCTCTCACGTTCCAGGTGCCAATAGCGATATTGTTTTTGACACGTGTTTTGCTAGTTGTTACACCAGTTGCATACTTCTCACCTCCGTTATGGTGCGCAGTGAAAGGTGCGGTCCTTGTTGACCCGGGCGACGACCGATCCGACATGGGCTGAGAATGGTTTTCATTCATGTGGCGCCGGTATCATGGTCAAATAAAGCCTGGCGGAGCCCATCCCACTCCAAGCCTGGCTTGGGTTCGAAGTTTTCCTTCTTCTAGATGAGCTTCCAGCCAAGGATAAAGAGCACCTGATATCCTGCAGGTAACTCGGTCCCTCAACAACAACAACATTAACTTTATTATATTGAACAGATATAATTACATCTATATGGGGAATTTTGGAAACCCTTACGGACTTTTACCAGATTCCCCTATTGTTTATTATTATATTATTTTTTTTAAATCAGGTCTGGACGCCTAACTAATGTATAAATCTAACCATAAATTAATTTCAATTTATAAACTTGCACACCACTAAGCATTCTCTAAACACTGTTGTGACAAAAGATGCTTTTTTAAATTTCTTTTTTATACTATTTTGTGATTTTGTGTTCTTTAAAACTTCTGGTATAGAGTTCCACAAATTCGTCCCTTTACACTGTATGGAATAATAGCCTTAGTTTGTTCTGTAAAACTGCTTAATAATTAACAATTATTCCTCCAGCCCGAATGGGCTCAGAGGCCAAGAGGGCGAGAGGAATAATTGTTTTAGTAAAATCCAACTAGTTGGTCAAAAATATCGGGAATAGAAAAAATTTTAGCTAGGTAAAAGTTAGACTTTAATCCTTTTTTGCCGCCAAAAAGCCCTCGCTTTTCGCTACTAGTGGGCTATAACATATGGCCTATTAGTAGCTCAACCAATCAGAACGCAGCATTGATAATAGACCACCAGTTGGATTTTACTAAAAATGTATGTTGTTGCTTCGCCGTGTAGCATACGCATGAAGTTGACTATTCAAAATGTAAATATCTCTAAAATTATACGGCAACTTATTATTAAATAGGTCAGTCATAAAAACGATACCGTAAAATTCCGAAAATAAGCCCCTCCATGTATAAGCCCCTCCAAATATAAGCCCCCCAAACCGGTAACGCAAAAAAACCCTCCGTTAAATCGCCCCTCCAAATATAAGCCCCCCAGGGGCTTGTACTTGGAAAATTGCCCTCATATACAAAGAAAAACAAAGCAAAAACGGTAAATTTACTTCCAACTATATGGCTAGCCCAATTGATTTTGAAACGCAAATTTCCCTCCGTAAATAAGCCCCTCCGAATATAAAAAATAAAATAAAATAAGCCCCTCAAAAAGGGCCTTTGAAAAATATAAGCCCTGGGGCTTATTTTCGGAATTTAATGGTAGTTTGCTGATTGTTTAATTGATTAACATTAAGGATCTCCAATGTTTGGAAGAGCGGCTTTGATGATTTAGTGTACAAGGAAAAAGTTATCACCCGCACTACTTTCAAGCGAACGTAGCCTGCAGTCGGTAAAACTCTCTACAGTTACCGTCCTCCGGGTAGACTTCCCATGGGAACAGCCTCGGACCCACTGGAAGAGGAGTTACTCAGATATGCCGGTATTTTAAGCTTGACATAAGGGAAGGTTTCGAAGGCTAACTCGAACTAATTCGAATTTCCCTTGGATTTCGCTCCACTTTTCAGTTATTTTTACTCGGTTAACTCGAACTTGGATAACTCGAATTTCCCACTAACTCGAACTAAATCTCCTTTCTCTTGATAAAAAAATTCACTGAAGTTTACCCCGATAACTCACATTCTGGTTTCTCTAACTCCTCTCGGATGCCACCCCATTGGCTCTTCTTGTTGTATAAGGATAAAAACACTTTTAATTTGTGCAACGAACAGATCACGTTTTATCATAAAACATACTCAAGCATATTACCATTTTCTGATGAAATAAGTTAATCAGTAACTATCAATTTTTAACTTGGTAAATTGAATTTTGCAATCGACCCCGATAACTCGAACTCTCACTAGCCTGCGTAGCAAATGTTTCCGTTCGGTTTCGGAGCAAAAAGAGACCGTCGAAGGGGATTTTCGCTTTTGATAGCGCGAGAAATTAAACGAGAACCAAAACCACCCCCGCCCCGCTCTTTTACTTGCGGATCCTTACACCATTTTTCGCCCGGTCTTTGACTCTTGTTCCTCGTTCTTTGCTCCTAAACCGCACAGAAACGCTTGCTACGCAGGCTAAACCCTCACTTACTCGAATGGCTGTTACTTCGTTGTCCTTCAGAGATCGAGTTTCCGGGATTCTACTGTATATCTTACTATATATTACATTTCAGGAGTCACCTTTCCCTACCACGGGGGTTCACTACCAACATTAGTGGGCTTTTTCCCGGACAAAGTCGAGGTACAGCCACTATGTTCACATAGACTATAATGCACCTTGTTACTCCCTCAAAATTTTGCATAATCATTGTCTTCGATTTCTTTAGGGACGACTGTAATTAATACCCAGGAGAAATTGGAAACAACTGTTATGCAAAAGTTTGGGGGGTAAACAAGATGCATTATGGTCTATGTTAAAATGGTGAATTCGCATAAAACCTACACCCGAGATCGACGTTGATATTTGAAATTTTAGTGCAATCGCACAGGTTCTAAAAAGCCATTAATTATTGTTTATTGATCCGCTCGACAGCCATGCCTGATTTTGTTGGTGAAGGTTGCATTTACACCTTTACACCAAGTAGTGTGCGCGCTACGATCGACATGCCTTTACACGGACGCGATTTCAATTCAACGCGGTTTCGCGGCGCGATTACATTCTGTGAACGATCTGTCCGTTGTCCGTGCTTTTACGTCATGATTTTATTAGAAGAGATCTGGAGCCAATACTGAAACGTCGTCACTTTGGTTTTAAAATAGTGAAACGCAAAGAGACCTAAGAACAGCAACTTGAACCGATAGCAAAGTAGACAAATAAATGAATACAGTCCACACTCAGTACGGCTGCAGAAAACTCGGTACTTGAAATTGTAACGATTTCAAGGGGCAATCCCCGAAAAAATTCAAGCTACCGTTAATGAGTCCCTAAGGGTCAGTGACGTAAAAGGGGAGAGCCGCAGGAAATATTCGCATGCCGAAGGAGAGGGGCATGGAAAACTGAGGGTAACCATGATTACTCCTCCCCCCACCCCTGCAAGGCTTGTGAAGCTAAAGAAGGAAGAACACAGATTCTCCTTTCATCTATTTATTGTTATTTAATTATATTGTATTAATCACTATAATTTGGCAAACTTTGGGTGGCAGGGAAGGCAGAGCCTATGCCCCCTAGGGTAGCGGTGTCCCTAGGAGGACCCCCTAGAGTACCGGTGTCTATAGAGGCAACCCTACATTAGAGTGTAACATAGGGTGGACCAGAAGAGGGGTGCCCTTCTGGAAGGAGAATAGGTCAGATGGTGAGTTGTACCATCTTGGAGTAAGCAATCCGGACCTATTGCCAAGGAGAGCTATCCCACAAACTGTGGGGTAAAGTGCACCCCAGGGTGTACTTCCCTGCCACGATTGTGTGAGCCCAAGATATTCTGGTCAAGAATGGGGGAACACAATCACCCCACGGTAAATTGTGTGGACGTTGGCTGGGATACCAACTGCCACATAGGGAAGAAATAATATACGATATTGGCATGGACAACCCTCAGGGAAATCAAAAACCCATTGCACCTTGTTTGGTTTGCACATGTATTTTGAAATGGAGGTCTAGGATAAGGAGAAAAACTCAACAACCCGGTGGAAAGGAGAAAATGGCTTCTGACACTACCCAAGAATAATAATATTACTGATAAAAATAGTAAGAAACATATTTAAGAGTACATAGTAATCATAATAATAGTCATCAGGTAGACAACAAAGAACGGTCTAACCTACAATTATTACTGCAGTTCATTGACAGTTGTTGTTTAGGGATAGCTAGCAGTGTTTCTTGAGGAGTTCTTATGTAGCGTTCATAACAGTCAGAAGACCAGCGGCCCAACACCTTGATTCCCTGCAGCAGCTACAGTAGTCGCAACGCTAATAAGGAAGCTATGCGAGAAATAGTGTTGAGGTTGTATGCCGCATTGCTGCAGGACGTCACGGAGTTCATGAGTGAGAGAAGTTCGGGTGAGCCACTTGCCACTAGTAAAGGTGAACAGGGGGCCTGCTGATGATGGTTGGCATTGTAACACATAGTCTTTCATAGCCATAACAGCACAGATGGAGGTAGTGGACCTCGCTAGGGTTAGGGTGCAACCATTGCGGAAGGGGTCTGTTTTGGACCGTTTAATCAGGACTAACATGTAACTGGGAGATTCAATGTTAGGGACAAAAGTGTCATCCTTAAGGCAAAGGTGAGTTGCTGGGTCAAAGACTTTGTCATTGCAGGTAAATTCGCTTGAACGTAAAAAAACGAAAAAGGTTAAGGTGAAGGCTGCCCAGAGCATAATGTGATTGAGGTCACAACTCAAGTGCGGTCGGTAAGAGCTGAAAATAGACTGCAGGATTTGGATTGTAATTGGGTAACGATCTAATTTGACCGGGGTTTGGGAACGTTTGATCGCATTAAGGACCTTCTGGAGTCTAAACATTTTTGGGAGTTTTAAGGGGAAATTGTATTGCCTATGGAGGTCTTGAACGGCAAACAGGTATAGCTTAATGGTGTTGTAGGAAACGGGTTTGGCTAAATGGGGAGACAAAATAAATCAGGGTAATTTCAGATGCGTGGAGAAGGGCCGTAGAGGGGCTAAATAACCCTTGCATAAGGCAGAAGGAAATGAAATGGTTTTGACCGACACTATAAGAACGTTTGGTGGCTGGAGCAAGGGACGTACCAAAGTAGCGATAAACAGAGGCTGTTAAATTGATGTCGCTGATGGAGGGATGACACAGGGGGAGGGTGAGGCGTTGGGAGCCAGGTGACGGAAGCGGTCCATCTGAAAACGGGACAAAGAATCAGCTATTGAATTATCTAGCCCAGGGATATGTCTAGCAGTAAAGGAAAAGTTGTGTTCTAAGGTAAGAATCTAACAGCTCGTAAGAGGTCCATGATCCTAGAGGACTTGGAGCGTTTGGAGTTGATGTTGGAGACAACTGGCAAGTTGTCGCACCACATACAAATATGTTTGCCTGACCAGGAAGGGCCCCAGAGTTAGCAGGGAATGTAAATTGCAAACAGTTCCTGCCAATCGATGCTGATACCCATGGTGGGGTTAAGGAGGTGTTGCGGGAGCCAGGGAGCCTGAAACCATTCCCCATTGAGATAGCCACCATACCCATGGGACCCAGAGGCGTCCGTAAATAATTGCAGGTCAGGCGAGGAGAGAACATTACCCCCTAAGAAAAGGTGTCTAGGTACAACTGTACATCCCTTTGACTCCAGTTAATGGAAAGGTTGTGAGAGGCCCTTCGGCGAAACTCCTCATCATGCAAATACCATGCCATACCGGGGAACTTACGGGCTGACTCACGTATCAGTTGCTGGTAGGCGAAGAGGTCCACCCCCAGGGATGGGTAAGAGGAGAGGAGTACAGACGAGTAAATGGCAAAGGCGTCGAGCCATCGGTCGATCCCAGTAATTTTGGGGCGCTTAGCCTGGGATGGAAGGGGTATAGTAAGGCCCTCATTTCCTACTTGTAGTTTAAGCTGGGAATTAGCGGTAACGTGGTCTCGTAGTAGAGACGAAAAAGGAAGAAGGCTAGCAAGGCCCACGTACTCACCGTTTGTTATGGCTGCGATGCAGCTGTTGGAGAGATGGCTGGCGGTAGAAGGGACTCTGTAGTTGGTGTGCAGGAGGGCTGCGTCTTCCAGTGTGCCAAGAATCAAATCTTGCTGAGAGGAGGACAGCGAGAAATCGAAAGAGGACGGAATCTGTTGTTGTCCGCCACTGCGGACCGGTGGGAGAGAGCGATCTGGTGCGAGGCTCGTAACGCCTGGAAAATGTTGCTGAGCGGATTGTTAGGCGGATGGCTGAACAACACCAGATGTTGAGCTCGATAGCGAGTTGCTCGCGGAGTTTAAAGTTGCCAGTTTTTGCTCCACGATAGCAGCACTCATGGGGGCCAACTGCTGATCCGGCATGGTCGCCGGGCCGGTAGGTGGCGATGTGGAGTCCTGAGAATCGTTCACTTGGAGGCGAGCGATGAACTGATGCCGTGGCCCTGGTTGTACCAGGCGGCGCTGGGACAAAAGTAAACGTAGTGTTTCGGTCGGTATTTCTGCGTACTGCGTCATTTGTACTACATCTGCAGAGTTTGTACGGCCAACGAGATTTACGTTGTTTTGGCATGATACGTGCACGGACAGAAAAATACAATCTTAAATAGTGCGAGTCTAGGCACTTGCTTGAAGAACAAAGCTGAAATGTGCGACTAATGGTATGAGGGGTTTACATAAGGCGTGACAGGTGAGAATCATGTGATATTGTGGAAAATTACTGGAAGCTTTGGCAACCACTTTAACAATGTAAAAGTGAAAGTACTTTGAGCTAAACAATGAGCTATTGACTACTGCACAAGCCTTGATTGCAAGGGTGAGGAGAGTAGAGTACACTAGGGACAAGTGAGGAACGAACTAGTGCTCCCTTAGGGCTCATTAACCCCAGTTAAGGGCTTAAACTTATAATAAATGATTTGATAGACGCGAGAGGCGGGAAGTTTAATAGATACGAGGCGTTTAAAAGAGAGAGTCGTTTATTCTCAGGCTGTAACGAAGTAAACAAAACTAAGATACTTTTGACGAATACATCAGGCTCCACAGCTAACGAGCTAGTCCACTGATTGATGTAAGTCTAGTCCAGACGATTTTATCAGTGATTTATTTTTTTTTTAATCTCAACTTCGCGGTCATGATCAGTGGAAACAAACTGGAGCAGAATAGATGCCCGTTACAGAAACCGCGTCCGTCCGTGTAAAATCACCCTCAGTGAGTCGAGAATAGCATGATCCCATGTAGCCCGCGAACAGCAGACACATTTCCGGTCGTCGCTTCTCTCCCGCCGAAAAATATCGTCTGCGAACCCGAGCGGCCAAACGATTTCCGTGACGTAATACCGCAGCCAAAAAGTGCCTAGTTAATAATGCTTACATATCGGCTTTAACTGTCAGCAAAACACCACGTTTTAGCGGTCCGATAAACGACAGGTTTTCGCATGGAATAGGAATAGCATGTTGGTTTATTCAGAGTTTTCTGTTTTTCCATAAACTAAGGAAAACACGAGAAGTCTGAATCGCATAGCATATTCAACTGCATGGGATCTAGCCTGCGAACAGCAGACGCATTTCCGGTCGTCGCTTCTCTCCCTTCGAAAAATAGCGTCTGCGAACCCGACCGGCAAAACGATTTTCGTGACGCAAAACCTTTTGTTTTGATGTTGGCCAATCAGTTCAAAGGATAGAATACAGCTCGAGTGACTCCTCGCGACCTCGCGCGTTGAAGTGTCTTGGATTTCGGAGAGAGTTACCAAATACGCTTTGGAACGTTAATTTCGCGACCATAACAAGGTTTCCTGCGACGTTAAATGTTGACTTCTTTATGAAGCAACTGCTTCTTAAGCTATGTATATGATGTGGGCCTTTGGTTTCGCTTTGTACGGTAGTACGTGACATAAACAAAACCTGGACAAAATAACCGCTACGGCTAAAGGAAAGTAATATAGCTTAATGACATCCCGCTCCGTCTTACTTATTTCAGTTTAACCAACGCTGACAAAAGGTGGTGAATCAATTATACCGACACATCCTTGACTGATTCAGAAAATGTCTATAAAGCGGCACACGACAGACTATCGAAGAGTTCTCCAAAGCATACGTTCCTTCCAGGAACCAGAAAGGAACAGAAGCAACAAACGACATGATGCGTCTGCTGTCATTAGGACATTCATCGTTTCAAATATGATCAAAACATCTAGGTGTGATAAATCATTGACTCCGTAGGCAAATAGATAAAAAAAATGTCCTCTAATCCTTTCTTTAAGATGAATCCTCTTGATGCTTATTTCATCAATCAGTCCCACAATCCTCGCAAATTGACTTTCGTAAACGCGTCGTTCTCAGAAAAAGAGCCGACTATACACAAGCAACGTCGTCCTTTCAATTTCGACTTGTAAACATATCCACCGCGCACGATCTTGCGAGAAGACTCGCGAGTTAGTTCCTTGATTTTAAGAGCTAAACCGTGATTGGCTAAAAAGGTTTTACGTCACGGAAATCGTTTTGCCGCTCGGGTTCGCAGACGCTATTTTTCCGAGGGAGAGAAGCGACGACCGGAAATGCGTCTGCTGTTCGCAGGCTAGATCCCATGCAGTTTCATATGCGATTCAGACTTCTCGTGTTTTTCTCAGTTTATGGAAAAACAGAAAACTCTAAATAAACCTACATGCTATTCCTATTCCATGCGAAAACCTGTCGTTAATCGGACCGTTAAAACGTAGTGTTTTGCTGACAGTTAAAGTTGATATGTAAGCATTATTAACTAGGCACTTTTTGGCTGCGGTTCACTCAACTTAAAAATTCAGTCTAGACTGAAATGACACTGGTTGGAAACTTCACTGAGTCAGATTACTGAATAAATGTTCTAAAATTTGCGTCATTTTAAATAAGGACTCGTTAAAATGCTTTTAGGGACCACAAACTTACTGCCTGGTGTCAGATAAAGGCCTTTGCTTGATTTTTTTATTGTTTTCAATAGCGCTGCGCACAGATGACGTCACAAAAACGTGACCCCCACCGCATCCTCGGAGACCCACGGGCAGTCAGTCGGGTCGGGAGAAAAGGCGGGAGGAAAGTTTTCAAGTACGGGCGAAAGAGCCCTTGGGTACCGACTCTCACCGAACTATTTCCAAAAATTCAAGCGGATGCCGGCTCCTGATTGGGCACAAAAAATGCTTTGTATTATTGTGCCCAATCGGCGAATAGTTTCTCCTGAGTTCTTCTCGTGAGTTCGTAAACGACGGCTATTGTCTTGCCACACTTGCCCGGTTCGTTCACCAAGCTTGTTACCCTGTTAGCAGAGTCGCTTCGATCTTTCCTAGATAAGTCGGGAAAGAGGAAGCGACTCTGCCGACATCTTCAAGTTCCCTTGATCTGCCGATCATCCAGCTTTTGGATGAATCAGACAAGTTTTATACTGGATAAACCAGTTTTACCTGTGCACGCACGCACGCATATTCTGGAATTTTGCTGACTCTTTCTGCGCCCACGCTCCACAGCAAAACAAATAGCTGCCGCTTCAATTTCATGCGGGAATTTTGAGAAATTATAGATTGAACGTTCAGTTTTAGAAAAATTGGAAAATGTACCCGGAT